TCCAACAGAACCGCACGGCCCAGAACCACACAGCCTAGAACCGCACGGCCCAGAACCACACAGCCTAGAACCGCACGGCCCAGAACCACACAGCCTAGAACCGCACGACCCAGAACCACACAGCCTAGAAATGCACGGCCTAGAAGAGGCTCATCAAAAGAATCAACCTCCGCAGCAGGGTGGGGTTCAGGGACGGGGGGGCCACAAGGAGAACCCTGATTTTATTTCATGGCTGCCAAACTGGGTCTGACCCCCCCACCCCCCTGTATTTGCCCAGCTGCACCCCCCCCCAGCACATTTGCCTAATTATCAATGGACGGTTCCGGGCCGCACCAAGCCCAGACAATACCGGCCCAAAGCCAACGGGGGGGGGGGGGCTTTGGGCCGGTATTGCACAGAAACACCTGCTGTAGCCAATTACAGGGAGATACGTGGCCCCTGGGGGCCCCCCTTACAGTATCACCTCTTTTAATCTGCAGCTGGTTCATTCAGACCCTGTCCCCTCATGGGGGTGGGGTGGGGGGGCTTTGTTTGTCGGCCAAACGACACAAGACCAGAACCCAGAACCATCTGGGCTTCAGAACCGGTTCTGGAGAATAACGGAAAACAGCTTCTGGCCCCGAAGATTTACTGAGTTCTTTGAGGGGCCACAAGCAGCAAAGGAGCCCCCCCCCCAAAGCTCTGAATAAAATCCATAACATTTAATCCATTTCTATAAATAATTCAATCCTACATCTGTTTTCTAACGAAATAAAGAGAGTTTGATCCAGACTGGAACCCAGAACCCCACGGACCAGTCGGCCCCAGTCTGTCCCAGTCAGCCCCAGTCTGTCCCAGTCTGTCCCAGTGGGCCCCAGGATGACTGGAAGGTGGACGATCCTGTTTTACAGCGAGATGATTGTAAGGTGCAATAAGTTTCCTCTCTGGGTCGGTCAAGTGCTGATGGGTTCTTCCACAATCATCGGTTCCTTCAATAAACTAAAGACTAAATGTTCAGGTTAGCGTCTAGCTCTGCTCCGCCGTCATCCAACGCATGAAAAACAGCAGCAGTCAAAAAACTGAAAATGCAGGAACTATACGTCTTTTATAAACCAAAGCTTTATAAAATATATATGCTTATATATATAAAAAAGAAAAACGGAAAAATATTTCTTAGACTTTTTAGTAAAGCAAGCAGGTCTCCTAAAATATCTGCTTGATTGTTGTTTAAGTTTTCTCAACCAAAATGTCTCTAATGTCAATAATAATAATAATAATAATCATAAAACAGTAAATAATTGTTGAAGGAACCAGAACAAAGATGGCGCGGCTCTTAGGAGAATATCCGGATGGCCTGAGTCACCTGGGTGTGGCACACGGGGCACTCCGGGTGGTTCAGCTCACAGATCCGGATGGCGCACTCCATGCAGAACAGGTTGTGTCCGCAGGGGACCAGGGCGGCCGTCACCTTGCTCTCAAAGCAGGTCATGCAGTCCCGCACGCCGGCCGGCGGAGAGTCCGGCACCGGCAGGCGCCCCGGGAAGCCGTCCCCGGCCGAGGCGGGCTCGCTGTGGGCGCGGCGGGCCTGAGCGTGAGGCGAGCCGGAGACCATGCTGGTGACGGAGCTGTTGGGGGGCTCCGGCAGACCGGGGGACAGTCTGGTCAGGGGCAGAGGAAGGCCCCCGAAGCTTTTGGACCTCTGCTGGGTGTAGAAGGACATCTGCTTGGGGTAGTCGGGGTCCCCCCAGCCCTGCGTCCCCTCAGATCCAAAGTATGAGCAGGGTTTCTCTCCAGAGTTAGAGAAGTTGCTCTTGTTGTAGATGCCCCCTCCCTCTCCTCCAGGCCCCCCTCCCACCAGAGCATCTGAGAAGTTCTGCCGGTAGCTGCTGGTCAGAGGTTTGCGCTGCCCCCCCTGCAGCCCCCACACCTGCTGCAGACGGCTCTCCAGGCCGCCGGTGCTGCCCCCCGGGCTGCTCCCTCCGTTGGGCCCCAGGCAGTCGTTCTCGTTGTTGTGGTCGTGCAGGCCCCCGGTGCGGAAGGCGATGTGGGCCTCGATCTCCTCCCGGGCCCGCTCTGCGTTGCTGGGGGAGCCGGTGATCTCAAAGACCGGGTCGCGGTCTCGGCTGGGGGTCACGATGTAGGTGCAGGTCTGCTGCTGGATGCGCTTTATGGTGGAGCCCTTGGGCCCCACCACCAGCCCCACCACGCGGTACGGCACCCTGACCTGAATGGTGGTCTGACCCGGCAGGGGCGTGGGGGGGGAGCCGCTGAAGGACACCCCCAGTTTGTTGCGGGAGGCCCGGAGCATAGAGAAGTGCTCTGCGGCAGAGATGATCTCCCGGCGGGCCAGCGCCACGTCCTCCTTCCGGCCGGTGATCAGGAACACGGGCTCCTCCCCCCGGACCGGGGTCTTGATGTAGGTGTTGGTTTTGGCCCTCAGAGCTTTGATCTTGCAGCCTGAAAAAAATCAAAAATATTTCGACATTTAGAAAAGAACCAACAGGATGGAAACTCAATCTAGGCCAAATTATCGCATTTCAATATAATCAACAGGAAATGCACCGATTCTGAATCCAGCGGAATTTAACAGCAGTAAAAAGTTAATGTTTCGCTGCGGCTCCTTCAGTGGAGGAGAAACATCTCCTCCTTCAGTGGAGGAGAAACATCTCCTCCTTCAGTGGAGGAGGAACATCTCCTCCTTTCAGTGGAGGAGAAACATCTCCTCCTTTCAGTGGAGGAGAAACATCTCCTCCTTTCCACAGAAAGGAGGAGATGTTTCAGCTCCTTCAGAGGAGGTGATGAGATGCAGCAGATCAACGCATGGAAAGAAGCAAAGGTTAAAGGAAAGTTCTGCAATCAGAGGCTGAACAAACCGGATCAGAGCAAAGAAAATAGAAATAAAATCAGTTTTTGGTTCAACTGTTGATCTTAAACCCAAACAGCTTCAACATTCAGGAGTTTCTCTGGATCCCAGAAGGTTCTGCAGAACCAGCGGGTCCAGAACGCCGCTGACCCGTCCTTGAACTTTGACCCCGTCGCCCCAAAAACTACCTTTGTCTCCACATCTGTCAGCAAGGTGGGGGGGTGGGGGGTGAACACATCAGAGATGAAGTCATCATCATCATCATCATCCATCATAAGGCTCACCTCACCTGAACTCCCCCCCCCCACTGGTTTCTCTTTGCTTTATACTGGGAGTCAAACTCCCACTGATCCAAAGATGAAAGACAGCGAGGTGGCCACGCGCTCCTTTGTCCAACCAGCGCTGGTCCAGTAAGGAACCAGTAAGAGATGTAAACACCCATCTGAACCCCCCACCCCCTCCGCCCCAGTCTGCCGCGTATCAGACGACAAAGGAAGTGGAGCTTTCCTGCTCCACGGCGCGTGTCTGCTCGCTGACATTGATGGCGTGGATGTGGAGCCCAGGATGCCCCCCCCCCCCCCCCCCTCCTGCGCCAAAAGGAGCAGAAAATGAGCGCCAAGCCGGGAGCGCGAGGCTGAGGTGGAAAGAGGAGAAGTTAAAACATTTGAAGCGGAAAAAGAAAAAGTGGGAGGCAGCGTGGGGTGGGGGGGCAGCTCCACACCCTCCCTGTCCTCCTCTTTGTCAGCCAGCAGCAGGTAACAGCAGCAGGTTGGGGAGGGGGTCCTACCTTGTCTGCCCACTATCTCGGCCACATGCTCGGAGCTTGGCACCGGGACGCACTCCGTGATGTTGCAGCCGCGTCCTTTGCTCTCCGCTGAGGAGCAGCTTTCATACAAGGAGCACAGTTTGCTTTTCCCCTGCAGGACGGCCGCGTCTCCTCCTCCTCCTCCTCCTCCGCTGTGGTTGTGGTGGTTGTTGTTGTTGTTGTTGCTCCGGTCCTGCACGCCTGCGGTCGGGGCTCCGCCGCCGCCGTCCTCGCCCTCCCCCAGCCCCAGCAGCGACAACTGGCCGAGCGCGACCCTGAGGGCGCGGGATTCGTCCTCCTCCTCGTCGGGCGCCACGAGGAGACCTTCTCCGCCGAAGCCGGAGGCGGCCAGATCCCCGCCGTAGCCCCCGTTTTTCTCCATGATCCCTGCTAGAACCAGCAGGCTCGGCATGGCTAACAAAGAGTGTGAGAGACAAAGAGACAGAAAGAGACTGAGAAACAGCAGCCTTCCTCCTCCTCCTCCTCCTCACCCCCTCCTCCTTCCCTCTTTGCGCCAGACCCTCCCACAGACCGCCCCTTCCTCCATCATCCAGACTCCGGGTACAGTAAGGAGCGCGGTGGGGTAGATGGGGCCGGGCCGCCGCGTTGCTCCACCCAGTCTGGTTCACCCCCCCACCCCCCCCCCCAACAGTCCACAGCGAGACAAAAAGCGACCTTCCCTCCCTCCCTCCTCCGTCTCAGGTCCGCCTGCGTGCGGCGGCCCGCATCCAGTCGGTCTCCGCGCGCGGAGCTGCAGCAGGAAGCCGCCTTTGATGTTTTGGGTTTATTATGTAAGAAACGAGCTTCTGGGATGTAAACAGGCTGTGAGCGCGTGGTCATGATGGGGGGGGGGGTGCTTTGCAGCAGGTCACCGCGCCGCTGTCCGCATCAGGATGTTATGGATGGGGGGGGCAGACAAGCGTTGCAGACCTTATGCGGTGCGATGGGGGGGGGGCATCAATAAAGCATTGGTTCCCGTTTGATCAAATAAAGCTGCACTGAACAAAGAACCACGCCGCGTGTTTTTTTCACGCAGAGATTCGTCCTCCTGGATCCGCCAGGTCAATTAAAATGATCATTAATCAAACTGATCAATAAAGTCCTCAAACCTGCAGCCTTTCATCAAAAGTCTGTTTCTCTAATAAATTGATTTTAAAATCAGGATAAAATCAATCAAACAATCCTGAAGCTTTCGGCTTATTATTAGTGTTGCATCTATACCAGTATCGGGCATCTATACCAGTATCGAGCATCTATACCAGTATCGGGCATCTATACCAGTATCGGGCATCTATACCAGTATCGGGCATCTATACCAGTATC